CCCTGCACCACCGCTGGGATGTGGGCTTCACAGGGCAGGTATCTGTATCTGTTTTCGCCCCCCGCATTTCCCCAGTGCCCAGAGCAGAGTCTGGCACACAGCAGGATCTCAGTACACACTCGGTACTCACTTGGATGGCACGTTGCGTAACCGAAGGGTCAGGGATTATGTTTCACGCCCGATCATATAAGCGAGTTGTAAGAATTCAATGCAAGGTCTGAGTGCCACTCTGTGGACCTGGAATGCTGTTGCTGACCCCCACCCCCTGCCCTGGGTTCCCGCTGGTGAGGGTGGCGCTACGCTGGCTCGGGGCAGGGACCTGCCTTTGATTGTTGATGGAGAATTGTCTGTGTTCTGTGCCTTGAGCCACGTCCTGGGGATGCAGAGATGAGGGTGGTGCTGCCCATGTGGCCCCAGACGTGCTCCCAGGCTCATCAGTGCCAGAAAACCACATACAGAGAGAGGCTTTACGGCATTAATCGTGGAGGAAAAGGGTCCCCGCCCCCACTGTGGCCTCCTTCTTGCTCTTAGAACATGGCTCAGGCTGGGACAGTGCCTGCGAGCAGGGCTGCCCTTTCTGTTCATCTAGAAATAGATTACCTGGGAGAGGAGGGTGGGAAAGGCCCAAGGATCATCCGTTCATGTCCCCACACCCGGGTGGGGGACACCAAGCGTGGTGCAGGCTGGGGTGCAGAGACATCAAGGTGAGGACGACATGGTCCCCCCAGATGTGGTCCAGGCGGGGGGAGGGTTGTGCTGCTGGGGTCTGAGGAAGCTAACGGAGCATCCCCTCTCCCAGGGACTCAGACAGGTGGAGGTTTGTTGCTGGTGCCCCTGGGGTGGAACGGAGTTCTGATGACCTGCTCCCTGGGTCTAGGCCTTGTCCATTTGAGAGGAGACTGTCTGGCAAACCTCACGTCTGCCCAGCCATTGCAGCTCCCCAGGGGACAGGGGAGGGGGGGACTCAGAGGTGGCCTGCAGTGCAGTGTTTTGGGCCCAGACTCCCCTGGAGGTGGGGCTGCGGGCGGTGGAGGAAGGAGGGGGAAGCCTCAGGTTCTCTCTCACGGTTCCATGTGGGGAGTGGAGCCCCAGCCCCTCCTTCCATGGAAACATGAGATGTGGGCGACAAGGCATCTAAACAGCTCAGGAGGTTCAATCCCGATCCCACGTATCCATTCACAGTCCCTGAGTTCTCCAAGCACCTGGGCTGGGCCAGGCACTGCAGAGGTCACGGTGAATCCAGCTGGCGCAGGTGCTGGAGGGAACGGGGCAAGCGGAGAGGGAGGGGCCGCTGCAGGTCTGGAGGCTCAGGAAGGTGGGGAGGGGGCGCAGGGGACCCAGGGGGAGCCTGCGGGACCCTCTCTGGGCCTGGCTCTCCTGGGTCTACCCGCTCAACGCTGGGGGCTGGTCTGCTGGCCTGCAGAGGAGCTGGAAGCCTGAGCGTGTTGGGGAGGAGTGGGGAGGGAAGAAGATGCTTCCCACCCCTGGGAGCCAAGTGCGGGGTCCTTCCCTGTGCCGCTGTCCTTTATTTCATGTTTGGGAGAAGTCTCTTTCTGCTTTTGCTTCTCCCTTCTCAGTGAGAACCAGATTGGAGTTTAGTAAATCGCAGCAGCTCTTCTGGTTGTCAGTTTGTGGTTCTTTCCGGCCCAGGCCCTGGCTGGAGAAGAAGCCCTGAGGTTAGGCAGGAGAAAAGCCTGGAGTCCTGCTTGCTGAGGCCTGGAAGAGGCGGGGGTGGCCAGTTCCTCAGATGTCTGAGAGACCCTCAGGTGGTGGGATGGCTGGGCCGGACTAGGGCAGACTACAACCGTTTGCCGAGCACCCCCCTCCCTCCCCTTTCACTGAAGAGAATGTTCTGGAAAATGCCCACTGGCCAGTGAACTATTGCTCTACCCTATGCCCTCCCTGCAGAATCTAGCAGGTGCCACTGGAGGAGGTGCTCCAGCAGCCGGGGAGTGGGGAGGGGGAGCGAGACTGCGCACCCAGGGGAGACCCACCTGCCCCGTCCTGGTGATTTCACCTGGGGAGGGACCCTTCCAGCTGCCCCAGAGTTGAGCTTCCCTGGCTGTTTTGGACCTGGTGGTGGTGGTAGGGGGGTGGTCTGAGGGCTTCCCCCTCCCCGAGAAGGAACGCCCTGCCCCAGGGCTGGGCGGATCAGCCTGGCTCCCCGCCCCCGCCCACCCCCGGCCTCTGTTCTGCCGGCTCCTTTCACTCACAGGTATTTTTACTTTTCCCTGGTGCCTGTTATGCAGGATCAAAGGAAGGAGGGGAGGCTGACAGAGGTGGTGGTTTGCCCGGGTCTTGGAGGAGCTCAGAAAAGGCAGGCCTGGTGGGACCCACAGCTACAGAGGGCCTGCTGCAGGCGGCCGGTGACCCAGTCGGTCGAGGGTGGCCTGGGGCTTCTGACCGGCTGGGGGCCGGGCCTGGGGCCTCGATTCTCATCTGGAAAGTCCTTGCCTTTCTCCTCTGAGGACTTTCTCCACTGAGGACTCCTTTCCGCGTGTGCCTGCTTCCTCTTGCCTGTGGTGTGTGTGTGTGTGTCTATTTGCTTACGTTTGGGCTCCGCTCAGCCCAGAGGTGCTCGGGTTTCAAGAAGAAGCCAGTGTTGATCCCTCATGAAGGATCTGGAAGCCTGAGAAGGCCCGACTGGCAGAAGCTGTTGTGTGCTGGGTCTTGCAGCCTGAATCTGCCCTGCTGCAGCCTTGCTCACTGCCTGTCCCTATGCCCCAAATCCCTCTATTGAAATAAAAAAAACCCAAGCCACCCCTGACCTCCCAGGATGCCAGAGCTGGGCAGGGCCTGAGAGATGTCTGGCGGGCCAGCGTGGTGGGGTGGTCAGGGGTGGGGTCTACACGAGTTCTGTGTTCCTGGGCTGTCTCACCATGTGCGGCTTGATGCCTCAGCTTCATCACCTGTGCAACGGGGCTGACAATCCCACCTGGCTCATAGGGGTGTGTTACCTGAGACGATGCAGACAGAGCGCGTGCCCGGTGCCCCGCGCTGTGTGGTCCTTTGCTGTTATTTCTCCGTGGGGCACCGTTGGCATTTGGACAAGACCGTGTTTCATCGTGGGCTGTCCCGCCCCATCCCTGCCTGGATGCAGGCCAGTAGGTGACTCCCTCCCTCCATCGTGATCACTGAAATGCCCCCACACGGCCAGGATGGCCTCCGGACTGCGTCCTACTGCAGCCCATCCATTTTACACGTGTTGAAACTGAGGACTCCCTGGGGGACAAGCATGGCCTCCAGCACGGCAGCAGTAGGACTGCAGGGTGGTCCGGGACTCCTGCTCTTTCTCGTCTGAATTGCCTAGAGCTGGCCTTGGCAGCCAGCACCCCACACCACCCCTCGCTCCTGGGAGAGACCTCAGATAACTCACATGGAGTGACTGCTCTTGAGGAGTCCGCACAGGTGTAGCTGCCCCTCGCCTGTATTTCGACAGATCTTCAGCCCTCTCCAGAGCGCTGACCCCCAGCCCTAGGTCACTGGGTCCTGGCTTCCTGCCGGCCTCCCCAGGCGCTCTCTGCATGACCAGTGCTGGATTTGAGTCCTCAACCGCCTTGAGTGGGGAGTCACCTGGTCCCTCTGGGAGACTGCTTCACCTGCAGAAGGCTGCTGAGGAGAATTACGAGCCCTCCTCTTGGCCCCTGAGGTGCTAGCGGAGGGGGCAGCATTTGGATGAGGGGTGAGATGTGAGGTGAGCGTCCAGAAGGAGCTCACTGGAGAAGCCCAGGAGCCAAGGCTGGATCCTGGGGCGTGGGCCCCCCATGCTCCCCTGCCCCTTCCAGAGCCCTGGAAGCCTCTGGGGGGGATGGTGGCTCTGAGCCCCCCACTTGGTCTTCGTGGAGGGACCAGGTCTCCAGAGAAGCTTCCCAACCCAAACACAGGCTCTTTCACACGGTCGGGGAGACTGAGGCACAGATCGGGCGAGAGGCTGCTGGTCTTCATTTGACAGACGCACGGGGAAGGGGGCCTTGAGGTCGCCCCCCCACCCCGCCCTGACTCCACTTTCAGCCTTTCTCCCGGGGCCTCCCAGATCGAGGGGAGGGAAGCTGCTGGCACTGAGGGAAGGCTGGGCCCCGGGAAGGAAGCCCTGGGGAAATTAGCCCAGATTAGCAATGAGAATGAGGAAGAGCGGGTGTTCTCTCCTCTCCCCTCGCAGATAAATATTTAATCACAACAACAATAATAATGACGGTCATCATAATAATGTGCACTAGCTCAGGCCAGAACCTGAGCCGCTCTCAGAGGGAGGAAGTGGCGAAGAGAGAAGGAGCGAAGAGAAAAGGAGAGATAAAGACCCCTGGGGTGGGGCGGGGGGCCCAGCAAGAGAAAAGGACCCCCTGCTGGGTTGACAATCTGGAGGGGTAGCAGGGCAGCTGGGGTGGAAATGGAGGTGGGAGGGTCCACCAGCCCTCCCCAACTCCCGCAGCCTCAGCTTCTCTTGGCCTTCAGATCCAGTGGCTCCCAGCCTGACGTCTCCTGAGGCTCTGTTTTCTTTCCTCAAGGAGACTGTGTGTCTGGTTCCAGAACTGGGGGCCGGGCATTGGGTTCCAGGCAGCGTTCTGCTGTTCACCCCCCGTGTGACTTGGGCCAAGTGCTCTCCTGCTCTGGGCCTCGGTGTCCCCATCTCTGAAATGGGTTGTGTCCAGCGGGGCCGGTTTTTGCGTGCATGTTCCTTCCCGTGGGTGCCTGTTGAGAGGAGACCCCTCTTCTTCCTCAGCCTCTGGGGGTCCCCTGGGGAGTGTGTTCTCTGAGGCCTCTGGTCTGATGGCAGTGGGCACCAGGAACCTTGAGACATGACCCAGTTTCTGCCTTCAATTCTCTCATTTGCACCAAAGTCGAGTGGCAGGGGAGAGGAAGCCGAGTTCAGGAGGCCTGTGGCGTCTCTGAGCACAGCCTCCAGCATCTCCTGCTCCCAGGCTCCTGATGAGAGATGCGAACAGTTAATGTCTCCTCGGGCTTCTCTGATTCCCTCTCTCTCTTTCTCAGGCTGGTAAGAGGAGAGCCCTGGAGCTGTTTTCTCCTTGATGCCAAGATCTGCCCAAGCTAGGAGCACTCTCCACCTTTCATGGTCATCCACCAAGAACAGGCCTGTGGGACGTGGGGACCAAGACCAGAACTTTGCTGCGCCCCAGCTACCCCCTGCTGTCTGAGTGCAGCCTGTCGCTGGCTGAGGAACACCAGCATGGTTCCGCCCGTCGGCCGCCCTCAGCCACCCTGCTGCTGACGCTGCTCTGGAGAGACTGGGGGGCCGCTGTGCCCATGCTCATCCAGGCCGTGGGGCCTGGGGCCCGCCAAGGCTAGGAGCGAGGCCTGCCATTCATGGGTCTCTAGGGATTTCGAGATGCCTGGGAAGAGGGGCTGGGGCTGGTGGTGGGCCCAGCTGCCCCTTTGCCTACTCCTCAGCCTTTCTGGGCCCTGGGTGCCTTCCTCCCTGGGGAAGCCCAAAGGCCACCCCCACATGAATTCCATCCGCATAGACGGGGACATCACCCTGGGAGGCCTGTTCCCAGTGCACGGCCGGGGCTCGGAGGGCAAGGCCTGCGGAGAACTCAAGAAGGAGAAGGGCATCCACCGGCTGGAGGCCATGCTGTTTGCCCTGGATCGCATCAACAATGACCCGGACCTGCTGCCCAACATCACGCTGGGCGCCCGCATTCTGGACACCTGCTCCAGGGACACCCATGCCCTGGAGCAGTCGCTGACCTTTGTGCAGGCGCTCATCGAGAAGGACGGCACGGAGGTCCGCTGTGGCAGTGGCGGCCCGCCCATCATCACCAAACCGGAGCGCGTGGTGGGCGTCATTGGTGCTTCTGGGAGTTCTGTCTCCATCATGGTGGCCAACATCCTTCGCCTCTTCAAGGTTAGTGCCTGCCCAGCTCCTTTCTCCTCTTCTCCTGAATCCCAGGGAGAGAGTGTGTCCCCCCCTCCCCAATACCCACAGTGGTGTGTGAGAATTTGGGGCTGAGCTGCCTGTGGTCAGAGAAGGACCCGGCTCCGTGGTGCTGACCGTGGTGCTGAAACAGCACCTGCTGCAGGCAGCCTTTTGATCAACTCTGCTCCTCTGCGGGGAATTCTGAACCAGGAGGGAAAGGAAGTGCTGGTGAACAACAGGAGGGGGGAAGAGAGGGGAGGACAGAGATATAAAAAAACCCCAGACAGATGGATGGACAGAAATATAGGTAGATAGAAAGGTACACAGGTTAAAAGATAGACATAGACTGGAAGTGTGAATGTTGGAGATTGCCAGGGAGAAAAAGCAAGACTTTTGTTTTGACATTGTTTTCCAATAATTGCAATTCCCAAGAAAGATCTGTTTTTTTCTTCTGGGTAGTTGAGAAAGCCCCGTGTGGCCCTCCCGCTCCACCTCAGGATTATAGTTAGAAAATGTGTCCTGGTTTTTTGCATGAGGCATTAGCTCTCAGCCCACAGCGACTGGATCTGCAGATGGGAAAGGCCTGGAGAAGTGGGTGGTCCCGTCTCTGGTGCCCTGGGCCCCCAACGGAGCTTCCCCAGCTCCTTCCTTCCTTCTGCCCCTCTTCCTCGCACACCTTTCTCCCTTCAGGAGTCCCTCCCTGCCCCCTCTCTGCCGCCCCCCTTCCTCTCTTCCTGGGGCAAGAGCTGCTGATTTGCAATTCAATTGGAGCCAAGTGCTTCGCTAAGCTGCTAAAACAACTGAAAGCTACCGGGTAGAGAGAAAAACATTACAAGCATTTTACCAATAATTATATGCCCGCTCCTTTCTGGGAGCCTCCTCGTTTGCTGTGTGTGTGTGTGTGTGTGTGTGTGTGTGTGTGTGTGTGTGTGTGTATGAGAGAGAGAGAGAGAGAGAGACAGAGAGAGAGAGAGAGAGAGAATAGGGTGAGGGAGGAGGAAGGGAGGTGTAAAGGGCGCCTCTGAGTCCCTCCTTCACTCTCAAGTTAGGTTCTTGGCCTCTGGAGTTGGCTCCTTGTCTCCTCAAAGTCTCCAGAGTTGGGGAGTGTACAGAGAGGCTGCTTGGCCTCATGCAGGTCGGGAAGTGCTGAGGCTGGATCCCTCTCTCCTGGGCCTTTTCTGGAACCCATTTGCCCAGTCCCATGATGCAGTAGTATTTGGGGGCATTTCTGGGAAGCCTGGGGTAGAAGTAGGGATGAGTGGTGTGAGTGTCCCCGTGTTGGCTGTCTTGTCTAGTGGGGCAGGGTTGGAACTTTGCCACGGTCTGGTCTGGGCCACGGGTGCTGTGCAGTCCTTGACTTTGGGCCTTCTTCCTTGGAGTGCTGGGTTTGGTTAATGATCTGGATGAAGACACTATTTTAATTTTAAAAACAAATACATTTTGAAGGATGCAAAATCATGATGCAGTAGGAGACTTGAAGGAAACTTTGCCTTGGCAGTGGACAGTTTGAACAACCCCTGGGGAGCAGTGTTGCCCGTGGTCATTCATTGGTCGGGGGGAGGTGGGGACTGGAAATCTGGTCCAGCCCCTCTTCCCAATTCTGGAGTGAGGAGGACAGACCCAGGGGGACGGGCAGCAGGGCTCAGGGGTCCCAGCCCTGGGCCTACTGAGGTTTGGGCCAGCTGAGTCGTCATTTCAGCCTGCCTGCCCCGGTGGTGTTGGGAGGGGAGGTGACCTGGGCCAGCAGGTGTCATGGAGCAGAGGCCCGCCTATCTGAGCTGGCACAACCCCCCGCCTATGAGAAGGCCAGACCACAGGTGGGCTGCCGAAGTGTCCTCTTCTGAGCTTTTTACTAAACACCTTGGTGACTCTGGGTGTTTTAGAATGTGTTTTATAAGGACTTCCCTGGTGGTCCAGTGGCTAAGACTCCGAGCTCCCTATGCAGGAGGCCCCGGTTCCATCCCTGGCCAGGGAACTAGATCCCATATGCTACAACCAAGAGTTTGCAAGTTGAAACTAGAGATTCTGCATGCTGCAAAGACAATGGAAGATTCCATGTGCCACAACCCAAACCTGGCATAGCCAAATGAAATACAACAGATAAAAATAAATATTAAAAAGCGTGTTGTAAAAATGTTAAAACAATGTGAGATAGGCCCTTGGAGATAGGACATAGGTGAGGGTCCCTCCCCACCATCTCCCGGGCGGAGCTAGTACCCACTTTATAGGGAGGTGGGAGAGATCAAAGGGGCTGAGAGGTGTCACTGGACAAAGGGTCTAAGAAGGGCTGCTGTCAGCATCAGGCCTTGAAGCGGGTTCTGGGAGGTCCCCTGTGGGAGTGGGCTGCGACTTCTGAGCTGACCCCTCCCAAGATGGACAGGTCTTGGGTGAGGAGGCCTGGGGCCAAAGGGCCTCACCTGCCGGGGGGCCTCGGGTGTTCCTTTTCCCCAGCCCATCCGGTCACACATGGGTGTGACTATGGCCTCTGTGTTGTCTGCACCTCCTGAGATCACAGGGAGAGGAGTGGGTGGGGTGGGAGTCAGGAGACCCCCAGGCTCGCAGAGAATGAGCTGGGACTGGGAGGGAGAGGCTTGGAGATGGGAGAAGGAAGGGGTGGAACAGAAGGGGGCTCTTGGGAAAGGAAAGTGGGGGACGTGGAGAGAGCCAGAAGGAGACAGCTGGCTGTGGTCCTAAGTCCCTGGGTCCCTTTTAACAGCGTTAATGTTCTAGGCTGGCGACAAGAGGGCTCCTCAATAATTAAACTGATAGAAATGAGAGGCTGGGCGAGAAACTGAAAAGCCATTTACAGAGGCAAAAAGATTGAACTTTGGGGAGGGAGGTCAGGAGCAGAGCCTCGAGCAGGAGAGGGTGAGGGAGGGGCCTCTGGGGCTGGGGAAGCTGCGGTGTCAGGTGTCCGTTTCAGAGGGCAGAGGGCACCTCCATGCCAAGGCTGCTAGTGGGGCCTGCTGGGAACTACCCCAGAGGCTGTGGTTACAGCCCTCTCCTTCCTCCACGAGGTAGATTTGTGGTGCACAGCTCAGAGAGGGTGATTTCCTGCTGGGAGAATGCTAGCAGAGTTCCATCGAGGCCAGGGTATGAACAAAGCTCACACCTGCCAGAGCTGGGAGGGGCAACTTCCGTCCAACAGCAGTGGACACGGAGCCCTGATTGAATGATAGGGCATGGCTGGGGGGCAGGTCCCAGACTGCCTGTGCAGAGCCGCAGGGCTGGATGTGGGCCTCGAACCTAGGCCTGCATTCGGGATCAGAAGCCCTGACTTTGGGGAGTCGTGGGTCTGACAGCTTGTATCCTTTACCCTCCTATTCGCACCCCCTCCTTCATCTTCGTTTTGGCTCCATTCTCCTAGGACAGGGAATATTGATGGAGGTAAGGAATACATTTTGGAGGAGAGCCTAACCCAGAGGAAGTGGCTTGTGTGGTATTATGTTGTGGGGACAGCCCAGGTTCTGAAAGCAGTCAGGTCTGGGTTTGAATCTCTGTGCCACCAGAGTTACATCACCATGTCCACCATATCTAATCACCATATCAGTCATTTACACCATAGTATGAACGAGCTAATCCAATCTTTCCCTGAAAGCAATATTTCTGGGGGGAGAAACAATATAGGAAGTGCCCTGGAAGAAAGCATTTTTCAAATCCTTGAACTATAAGAGCTCAGAAGGATCCAGAAATAATTGCATTGAGTCCCTCATTTTTGAAGTGGAGGGGGAAAAAAAAACTGAGGCTTGAAGATGGAAATATGAGCTAGCATCATGATTAAGAAATTGGACACTGGAGGGACTTTCCTGGTGGTCCAGTGGCTGCGACTCTGCACCCCTCATGTGGGAGCCCAGGTTCGATCCCTGGTTGTGGCACTAGATACTGAGTGCTGCAACTAAGACCCAGCAGCACCAAATAAGTAAATAAATTTAAAAAAAAGGATTTGGACACTGGGGCCAGACAACTTTTGCCACCTTGGCAAATTGTGTAGCCTGTTTGTGCCTCAATTTCCTTCTTTGTAAAATGGGGGTGATAGTGGTCTCCTCAGCCAGGTGTGGGAATTAAGGGTTAATGTCCAGAAAAGACTTGTCTGGTTGGTGCCTGGCACACAGTCAGCCCACAGGAAATGTCACTGCACAGCTTGTAGCCGGACTTGAAGTCAGCATGAGGGACTCCATCGATGTGGAAGAGGCTGGACCCGGTGGGCAGGGACAGACGGTGACCTTTGAGGCTGATCCTGGAGAGGCCCCACCATCTGCTAGGCCTTGTGCAGTGTGGAGACTGAGTGGCCAGCTTAACTTGCAGATAATGAAGGTTTTCTGCTCTCACCACAGGGTGGGGCTGAGCACTGGGGATGGGCTGGAGTGGAGGGAGGGCAGGAAGGGGCCAGCAGGAGAGAGGGTGGAGGGGATGCCAGCCAGCAGGTGGGGGCAGGTGCCCCGCTTCCTAGGAGAGACGTTGGCCCTCTGTGTGCCATGCCAGCCTGGCCTGCGAGGGCCTGTCCCTCCTGGGGATGGAAGTGCTGTGAGGGTTTGGGGTGCTTAGGCTTCCCAGGTGGTGCAGTGGTGAAGAATCCGTTCGCTGACACAGGAGACGTGGGTTCAACCCTTGAGTTGGGAAGATCCCTCGGAGGAGGAAATGGCAACCCACTCCAGTATTCTTGCCTGGAAAATCCCACGAACCGAGGAGCCTGGTGGGCTACAGTGCATGGGGTCGTGAAAGAGTCAGACACAGCTGAGATACGACACGACAGTGTGTTAGAGAAAGCGGCCTGCCTGGTACTTGGCTGACCAGGCCAGCCAAGGGGAAACGCTGTGGCTCAGCTGGTACCGATGCTCTGTTGAGGACGTGGCTTTTGTGTCTTCAAAATGTTTTCACTGCACAAGCAGGGGTAACTTTGGAGACGGTCCACCCCCTCTCCCGCGGCCTGCCCGTCTGCCATGAAGACAGCTTCGTCTTTCCAGGGCCCAGGCAGAAATCTCGGTGGC